GTAAAAGATAGGAATTATGCAAAGGCTTTCAAAAGAGGATGTGTACGAAAAATAAATGTAGAAGGGAGTTGCAGTGCCAAACGGCCTTGGGAGTTTTTTTTTCATAAGTCTAGGCACTTGCCAGAACTTTTGATAAATTGAATTCAGACTATGACTACCGAAACTAGATGAGATTTACTCTACATGAAAGTTGTTTAATCAAAAAACAAAAACCTATAGCAGTGAAACGTGAATGTTGAACCGGCGTCTTCCGTTCGTTTGGCAATGGCTGTAGCTACTTGTTACGTTACTCATTGATAAGGTTTTCAATCATGACATCCTTCTTATTGTCGCAATCTCTGCAGTCATTCTATGTTGAGGTAATTGAACTCTGAAACGATGTAAGTTTGACAACCTCGAATCGAGGGGTACGTAAGTAGCAGCTTTCGAGAAGCTCGAGATTTTTACGCATTTTTATATAGCCAGTCCTATCATCGCAGTGATATACTGTATTTTCTTATTAAAGTTTTACGCTACTCTCTTCCAAGCTCAAAAGTTTTTTGGCTGTGCACCATCAATGGTGCTGAAAATTTTTATTTTGAGTTTTAAATATTTTTAGAAAATTCAACCCATTAGATGTGCATCATCAAAAGGAAATTTTTGGAATGCTTAACAAAATTCACTCCTCTATTCGGTCCGCCAGTGATAGTAGCTCGTTAAGGAAATGGATGCATACAGGGGTACCTCACAAAAATATATTAAACGTCCGATTGCTATTTACTCTCTCGTTTGCACAGCTTTCTCGGAACTCTAAGTAGTATAGTAGTATATTGTAGTGCTGGTTTCAACTCAGTTTTAGTATTTCAGAGGAGATCTTCATCACTTTTCTATTACGATGTGAACTTGACGAAATTTTGTAGCAGAGTTTCTGGATCTTTTTGACCCGCTAATTCTATTACATAAGATGACTTTTGACATGTTTCTGGAGCAGTTTAGATGGTCGGGTCAAATTTTTGATAATTATCTTCCAAAGTGTAGCTGTAGTACCAATAAATGAGGCTGTATTAGAGCGAGAAGTTCATTATTCGTAAGCAATGTAATTCGCGTGTTACTGAAGTTCTCAGCTTGGTTTATCGGGTTTGAGGCGATATATACCCAAATTGGTACAAAAATGGCCATATGTTCTGGCTGAAATTTTTACTGTAAAGGGATCAGCGATTTTCTCACTATAGTTCTAAGTGAAGCCAGCACTACAAAATGGTAGTCAAAGATGCGCAAAAGCTGTTTAGCAGAGTTGCATCAAACGTTTTGCATATTTTCACAACATATTTCATTAGTTTAACGGCTCCAAGGAAAGAAATTGTTCTTAGCTGCTAACGTAATAATATATTGACTATTTTCAGGTCGATTCCATGGTTCGGCAATGTTTTCAAACTATGTGCAAGGAATGGATGGTGGAATGTCATTGGTACTGCGATTCCGTGAGAGATCAGGTTGGAAAATCTAACGCAAATGCTTTCGTTTTAGGAAACTGTGCTATTCCAGAAAACTCTTCACCGATGCCAAGAATGTCTTAGCTATCGTGGACAACAATGTATGGATTGCTTTGATCTGTAAACACTGTATGAGCTTACTGAGCCGAAAATTTGTCGGACTATAACGAAATTAATATCATGTTCAATCCACTGATGTATAAAATATGTTAATTATAATCAAGACTTCAACCATTCTTCGGGTGTGCTGCATTGTATTAGAGCTCGCAATCAGTCGAGCATGCCCAATAGTAAATCTCTACTTGTACTGTAGTCCAATTCTTCCAGTGTTTTGCTTTTCCGCTCTAAACCTGCCACAAACAATTCTGCTATTTGTTAATTATTTGTGAAGTATCTCGCTCAGCAT